AGGGGAGGTCCTCGGGTGGCGGGAGGATCCAGAGGGGGGGAGGGTGTGACCCGAGTAGCGAGGGAATCCTGCCCTATCCCCGAGCAGCGGCGGCGGGGCCGGGCGGTGAACCGGACCTGTGGCGTCAATCATTAACCGCGGCCGGCTGGGCGGTGCTGCAGTCGGACGGCGGAGGAGGAGAATCGGCTGTCTCCCCACGTCGGGCGATGGGCTGCCAGGGCTGGGCCGCAGCTCCAGGCCGCAGAGGCCCCGGTGCCGCCGCATCCCCGGCCCGTCCCCTCACGGCGCCCGGCACCGGCACCGGCCTGCTCCGCGCCGCTCCCGCCCCATCCCGCCGCTCCTCGCTCTCCGCACGGCGCATGCGCGCCGCGCCCTGCCCAGCGCCGGCCCGCGGCCCCCCCCCCGCCCGCGCTTTTTCCCCCCTTCCCCCCACTTTCAAACTCGGCGCCGCCGATTGGTTGCCTGCTCTGCCACTCCGCCACTGCGCCAGCGGCCGTTGGCCGGCGCTGCTGGGGAGGCGGGCCCTCCTCCACCCTATATAAGGGGCTGTGGGGCACTGCGCTCCTTCTGCTGCGCCGCGCCCGCCGCACGGACGAGTGTCTGCTGCTGTGCTCGTGTCTCGCCATGGCCAACCCCGTCGTCTTCTTCGACATCGCCGCTAATGGCGAGCCCCTGGGTCGCGTCACCTTCGAGGTGGGCGCGGGAGGCGGCCGGGGAGGGGCGGGGGGCGCCGTTGCCGTTTCCTTGCCGGGCGCGGGGCCGGCCGCGCCGCGCTCGGGCGGCTCCGGGAGCGGCGGCGCGATGCCAGCCCAGGGCGCGCCATCGCCCGAGGGAGTCCGTCCGCACCTGGTCCGGTACCGCTGGTTCCCCGGTACCGCTGGCCGCGCCACCGCCGCCTTCCCGCCGCGCCTCCGCTCCGCCCCGGGGCCGGGGGGGCGCGGCAGTTCCCCCCCACTGCGGGTCGCGGCCGTGGCGGCTTCGCCGCCATTTTATCGCAAGGCCCCCGGAGCATCGGGATGAGCCGCGTCGAGCTCCCGGGCAGTGCTGCCCGAGTCTGGGGATGCCGGCGGGGAGTGCCGGCAACCCGATCACCGCGGGATTGTCGCTGGAGGGCGAGGCATTTGTCACCCCGCCCGGGGCGCAGAGCATCCCTGGCACGGCTGGGCCTGCTCCCGGCGCCGCGCTCCCGCACGGGCGGCGCATCCAGCCCAAAACCCTCCTGAAGCGCTGGGAGGCGGCGCGCGCGCCCCGCCCAGGAAGGCTTCAGGCACATTAATGTTTAATTTAATCCAGGCCAGCGGAACGAGCGCTTCTCTGCCCCGCTGGTGAGATGAGCGATGCCGCAGCTGTTAGTTCAGAGCTTGCGGATAACGGTGTGAGGCGGGGAGGAATCTAGAGCTGCTGGCACGGCTGAGAAGCCCCCACCGCTGGGGGTCCCTGGGCTCTGAGCAGTGTCTGGGGGCATTCCCGCGGTCCGGAGTGGCCTGGGGGAGTGGGGGGCAGTGGCCAGTCATCAGCCCGGATTTGACAAATGCCTTTCTGTCTTTACAGCTGTTCGCAGACAAGGTCCCGAAGACAGCAGGTTGGTAAAGCAACTTTGCCTCCACTGCAACTGCACCAAGCCCTAGTACTGTCCTGAACTCAACAAATACAGCTGTTCACGGTGGGGTTTTATTTCCTTTGCAGAAAACTTCCGTGCTCTGAGCACTGGTGAGAAGGGATTCGGCTACAAGGGGTCCTGCTTCCACAGAATCATTCCTGGGTTCATGTGCCAGGTGCGTGGTGCTCCTGCTGCAGCGGGTGGGTGGGTGGGTGAGGCAGTCTGGAACTCTGGTAGGTTTTGGAGTTGGATGCTGGCAGATTCGGGGTGCAGGTTGGTTCTGCCTTAAGCCTGCACCCACTTCCAGAGTGTTCTTCTGCACCCATGTCCTGAAATGCTGCCTTTTCACAGGGTGGTGACTTCACACGCCACAATGGCACTGGAGGCAAATCCATCTATGGGGAGAAGTTCCCAGATGAGAACTTCATCCTGAAGCACACGGGGCCTGGTATCCTGTCGATGGCCAACGCCGGCCCCAACACGAACGGTTCCCAGTTCTTCATCTGCACTGCCAAGACCGAGTGGTGAGTCGTGGGCCGTGGGAGGAGAATCTCGGGGGTCTCTGGGGATTTCCTCTGCTGGGGGATGTCAGGGACCGGCTGTGAGCGCTGCTTCTCCGGCAGGCTGGATGGCAAGCACGTCGTCTTCGGCCGCGTCAAGGAGGGCATGAACGTGGTGGAGGCCATGGAGCGCTGCGGCTCCAAAGACGGCAAAACAAGCAAGAAGATCACCATCACCGACTGCGGGCAGCTCTCGTAAACCCTGGTGTCACCGACTGACGATTCCCTGGGCAGCCTGGGCAGCACGGCCCCGCTGCAGCTCACCCGCTCCCACCCCGCTCCTGATGTACTGCTGCGTTTCTACTGGGTCACGGTCCCACTGGGCCGCAGTTACCTTCGAGTCTAAATAAAACGAGTTAAACTACGGACGCCGTGGCAGTTCCCTTCTGTGCCCACCTGGGGAGGGCGGGGTGTGGCGCTGGTAGGGGGAGGGAAAAGGTGTTGAGGGGGCAGGAGGAGACCTGTCAGTGGGGTGGTCACACCAGGCACCACAGTAGGATCCAGAGTGAAGGGAGTAAGCTGGTCTGGGCACTGGGGTTCTTGGTGTTTCAGACCCCTAGACCCCCAAAATCCACCCTGCACCCTCCAAATCAACCCCGGGATCATCACAAGCAATCCTTGGGATGCTCCAAATCCACTTAAGGACATCCTGACCCTTCAAATTCACCACAAGATTCCTCCCCCCTCAGACACCATTCCCTGGGACTCCTCTGGCAGCCTCTAAATGTAACCTGGAAACCTCTCCCTCCCAGGAATCCCCCAAACACTGGGACCCTCCAACCCCCTCCAGACCCCCTAAATTCACCCTAGTACACGTCAGAGTGGTTGGGAACCCCAACCCCTCCCCAGGGACCCTCCAATCCCCATTCAATGCCCCCAAACCCACCCCAGGATCCCCCCAAGGAGCCCCTGGGACCCTCCAACCCCTATTCAATGCCCCTGAATCCCTCCAAGGGCCCCCTGGAGTCCCTCACCACCCTCTGGATCCCCCAAATCCAGCCTGAGATGTGCAAACATCTGCTGAGAAGCCCCTGGGACCCCCCCTAAAGACTCCCTGGGACCACCCCTACGGAAAGCCCCCCCTGCACACTGTTCCAGCCCCACCACGTCCTTGCCTTCCCCCCACCACATGGCCTTGTCCTCCCCGGTGTCCTTGTGTGCCTCCTGATGTCCTTGTGTCCACCCATCCCCCAGAGGCGTCCCAGCCTGGATGTCCCCTGTGCCCCTTCCCCTGTGGTGGCACTGTCTCCCTGTCCCATTGGGGGTCCCTAGGGGGCTGTCTCCGTGCCCCCAGGCTATCATTGTGTCCCCTTTCCCCACAGTGGATGTCCCCAGGGGGGTGCCCTCCAAGTCTCCATGCCCAGGATATCCCCAAGATGTCACCCCCTTGTCCCCCCACCTGGGGTGTCCCCAAGGTGTCCCATCCAGTGTGTTCCTGTCCCTGGGGTGTCCCCACAGTCTCCCCAGGGTGACAACCACAGTCTTCCCATGCTCTCTGCATGTCCCCAGGGTGTCCCCAGGGTGATGGGCCCCAGCCCAGGATGTCCCCATGTCTCCCACAGCCCCCTCCATGTCCCCTGTGCCCATCCATCTCGTTCCCACTCCTGTGCCTTCCATGTCCCCCATATCCCCCTCATGTCCCCATGTCCCCCTGTCCCCCTGTGTCTGCTAAGGGTGGTCCAAGGGGGATCCTCCTGTGAGAGAGGGGGGCTGGAAGGGCTCTGTGGGTACTCGGGGGGTGGGGGTGTCCAGAGGGGCTGTGGCAGATCCTGTGGGTTCTGGGGGTGTCTCTAGAGGATTAGGGAGGGATCCCCACGTTGAGACATCCCCCCCCTTCTGCAGTACCCCTCTCGAGGGCCCCCACCATGGCACCCCACAAACTCCCCTAGTGACACATCCCAGGGTGGGGGTCCCCTTCCTGACTTCAGCACCCCTCAGATTATTGGGTCCCCACCTGTAATCATCCCAGGACCCACTCCCTGGAGGGATGTCACCCGCCAAGGGGACATCCCTAGGACTCACACTCTATTGGAGACCTCCCTCGCTACTGCTGGACCCCAATAAATGTCTCTGATCCTCAAATGCTGCTGCCAGAGTGAGGGAAATGGGGGGCAGGCACCCGTGAAGCAGGCTCTGGGTGCAGGGACTTAAGCGGGGGTGGGAGCACCCCCACGAGGGTTGGGATAGGGGATATTTGGGGAGGTGAGGATTTGAGGGGTGAGGCACCCCCAGGGTTGGTGGTTTTTGGGAAATTTCAGTCAGGGTCCCCAAGGGGGAGGAATGAGCGGGTGCACATGGAAAGTTGATGCTAAGAGTTCGGGGGTGAACCCCGTAATTGCAGACCGGGCCTCGGGAGGACAGAGCTTAAAACGTGCCCTTTATAAGGTGGTGTTTGGAGGGGCTTGAGGGGGCACTTTTATAGCGGTGGGGTCATTTTGGGGGTTAGGGATTAGAGGATTTATGGAGGAATCAATGCATCAGCAGGCAGGGATTCTGGGGCAGGGACTACGGGTCTGTTTTATAGAGGATGGGGGGCTGCCTCCAGGGGCGGGGGGGGCACGGCGCCCCTTTATAAAGGCAGAGCGGCCGGTGAGGTTTGATGAAAAACGGGGCTTTGAGCCTCCTGTAGAAGGGCAGAGCCTCACGGGGTGGGTTTTAAGGAGCCCTCTTTACGGGGCTGGCCTTAGGGGCCACTTTTATGCTTGCGGCGGGGGGGGTTGCGGTGGCGGGGCGCGGGCGCCACCTGCGAGGGGCAGGATTTTAGGGGTGGGGCTCCATGGGGCGTGGTTTGGGGGTTCCCCAATATAGGGGAATCCGGACCCCCCTCCCCCCCGCGGGCCATGGCGGTGCTGCTGCTGTGCCTGCTGCTGCTGCTGTCGCTGTCGCTGCTGTCGCGACTGTCGCGGCGCGGCGATGGGCGCGGCCCGCGCTGGGGCGCGCTGCACCTGCTGCACCCGCAGGGGGCGCTGCACCTGAGCCGGCTGGCGCGGCGGCACGGGCCCGTGCTGCGCATGCGCCTGGGGGGCCGCGGTGAGTGAGGGGCCTTAGGGGCCACCCCGAAACTGATCTGACCCTGACCGGACCCCCCAGCCTCCCAAACCCCCTCTCCTTCCTGCTTAGGGTGAGTGGGAACACCCCGAAACTGGCCTGACCCGAACCTACCCGGACCCCCCACCACCCCCCTCTCCCTGCTCCTTAGGGTGAGTGAGGGGACCCCAAAACCGACCCGACCCCAACCTGCCCGGACCCCCCAAACCCCCCTCTCCCTGCTCCTTAGGGGGCACCCCGAAACCGACCTGACTCGAACTTGCCGGACCCCCCAGCCCCCCAAACCCCCTCTCCCTGCTCCTTAGGGGGCACCCCGAAACCGACCTGACTCGAACTTGCCGGACCCCCCAGCCCCCCAAACCCCCTCTCCCTGCTCCTTAGGGACTCTCCGAACCCCCAGCCCTGCCCTTTCCCCCTCCTTGGGGACCTCCCCAACCTTCAGACCTCTCCTCAAACCCCCCAAACCTTTCCTGGGGTCCCGATGCTCCCCCCAAAATCCCACGCCAGGACTCTCCGCTTGCTTTGGGAGCTGCCCCAGTTTTGGAGCACCCCCCCAGCCCCTCCTCTTCCCTCCAGACGTGCTGGTGGCGAGCTCGGTGGCGACCATCCGTGAGGCGCTGGTCCGGCACTGGGGGGACTGGCTGGGGCGCCCCCCCAGTTATCTGGGTATGGGGCCAGGGGAGGCCGGGTGGGCTATGGGGGGGAGGTTGGAGGGGCTCCTGTGGGGTTTGGGGAGTATCCTGTGTGTAGTGAAGCCCTTCGGGGCATTGGGAGTCACTGTGGGGTTTTCTGTGGGGCTTGGGGGGGGTCACTAAGGGTTTGGGGGGGCCTGATGGGCATCCCTATGAGATGGAGGGGAGTGTTATGGGATTTGGAGGGGGTCCCTATGGGGTTGAACATCGGTACTGGAAGGGGTACTGGGGAGGGGGGTTGCCTGGAGGGGCTAGGGCAGTCCCTAGAGCTCTCTGCCCCACCAGCCACACCAGGGTTCCCAGTGGGATTAGGAGGGTCCTATGGAGGAGGCAGCTATGGGGCTGAAGGAGGCTTTACGAGCTAGAGGGGCCCTGTAGAACACCCCTGGTGTACTGGAGCTGGGTCCCTAGAGGGGCTGGGGGGGTTTCTGGGGGTCCCTGACTCCTCCTGCCCAACGCCAGGGTCGCTGGTGTCACGGGGGGGCCGGGACCTGGCACTGGGAGGCCCCTGCCCTGGCTGGCGGCGGCAGCGGGGAGCAGTGCGGGGGGCACTGGCCCGGGCTGGGGGGCGTCTCGGGCCCCTCCTTTGGCTGCAGGGCCGGGAGTTGTGTGAGGTGAGACCCTGAAACGGACTTCTCCCCAAACCGATCCTCCTGCAACCCTGACACCCCCGAAACTGATCCTCCCTGCATCCCAAAGCAGATCCCCACACGTCACTGACCAGCAAAACCCTGCCCCATGTGCCCCAAAACTGATACCTTAAACCCCACTCCCTTCACCCAAACCCCACCCATGCACTGTAACCATGTCCCCTGCATCTGAAAACTGTCCCCCAAACCCTGCCCCCTGCACTCAACCCCCAATCTCTGCATCCCAAACCCTGCACCCACACCACTGTCCCCCAAAACTGACCCACCCAAACCTCACCTTCTGCACCCCGAAAGGGCATTATTCCTGTGAGTCCCCAAAACTCCCTTAGAGCTCTGCACTTCTCTTGTGTGACCCCCTAAGGCAGCCTTAGACTCCCCCTTTATTTCCCCAGGGCTCCCTCTAACCTTCTCTTTCCCCCAGGAGCTGCGTTCCCATGGGGAGGCCCCCCTGGACCCCTTTGAGGTGTTCACCTTCCACACCTGCAGCACCATCGCACGCCTCCTCTTTGGGGACCTGGTGGGGATTTGGTGGGGGGGCAGGATGGAGACAGGGGTTTGGAGAGGACCCCAGCTTTTATGAGGGCCCAGGGGTTTGGGGGGGACCCCTGGGAGTTTGTGGAGGGAACATCCAGCTGTTTGGGGAGGTGGACTGAGCAATTTGCGGGTGGGTGGCAGGGGTTTGGGGGCACACAGGAGTTTGAGGGGACCCCAAGTGTCTGAAATTCTGTTGTGGGGGATCCAGAGAGAACTTGAGTACTGGACAGTACCCAGGTGTGTCCTCCTGCAGGTGCCCCCTCCAGGGGAGCTCCGGGCCTTCTCCCGCTGCCTGGGGGAGCTGCTGCAGGTCTGGGGGCACAGCAGTGTACGGGTGCTTGACCTGCTGCCCCTGCTGCGGGTGAGCCTGGCACCTCCTGTGGGTGGCCTCTGGGGCTGTGGCCTTTTTGCTGCATGAGGGTCTATGGAGCCCTGTAGGGGCAATGAGGGAATTGTGGGGGGCTGCAGGGGGGCTGTGGGCCCTTGGTGGGGGCTGTAGGGCCCTGGGAAGGGCTGTGAGTCTCATGGAGGTTATGTGGCCTGTGGGAGGGATATGGAGCTGGTGGGGTTATATGGGGTTGGGAGTGAGGTTTTAGGATCTGTGTGGGACTGGAGAAGAGTATGGGGGGCTGACAGGGAGCTTATAGGGTCCACAGAGGGCTTGGGTGGTGTCTATGGCACTGGGAAGGGACTGTATAATCCTGGGAGGGGAAGTATGGGGTCTCTATGGGGCTGGACAGGGATTATAGTGTCTGTGTGGGGCTAGGGGGAGTGTTACAGGGTCTGTATGGCGTTGGGGAGCTCTGTGGGCCTGGGAGGGGCAGTTGTGGGGGCTGAGGTGGGGTAAAGTGTCTCTGTGGAGCTGAGGGTGCCTGTAGGACATTGGAGGGGTCTGTATGGCCCGGGGGAGCAGCCATAGGGTTTCTCTGGGGCTCAGGAGACTTATGCAGCATCTCTGGGGGAGCGGAGGGGGTCTCTCTGAGGTCAAAGGTTTCTGGGGGTTGGGGTCCCTATGGAATCTCTGTGCCCAGGCCCTGCCCAACCCGGGATTGCAGAAGCTGCTGCAGCTTGTCCAGCAGCGAGATGCGTTTGTGGAGGCCCAGATCCAGCGGCACCAGGTGGGGAGCTGGGAGCAGCCGGGGGTCAGGGGAGAACTGGGGGTTTGGAAAATACATGGGGGTCTGGAAGGACCCAGGTTCTGGGTGGAAACCAGGAGTTTGGGGGGTACCCAGGGACTTGGGAGCACCCACATATCTTGGGGGAAACAGAGGTTTGGGGGGACCCAAGGGTTGGGAGGAGCTGGGGGTCTGGGGGGGGATGTGGGGTTGGGGAGATGTAAGGCTTGGGGGAGGAACCAGGGGTTTGGGGGTTTGGGAAGGGACTGCTGTGTTTGGGAGCAGCTGGGGATCAGGAGAAACCCCCAGCACGTGTCATCCCTTTGCCAGGCATGCCCCTCCCCTCTCCCGGACACAGTTTTGGGGGCGCTGCTGGGGCGCAGTTCTGGGGCACGGGGGGGCCCCCTGAGCCCCCCCCGGCTGCACATGGCGCTGGTCGACCTGTTCATTGGGGGCACCGAGACCACGGCAGCTGCTCTGGGCTGGGCTGTGGCCTTCCTGCTGCACCGCCCTGAGGTGAAACGCGGCTCCCTCCTGCAGCCCTGGAGGGTCCTGTGTCCCCCCAGGGGTCCCGTGTCCCCACCCACGTCCTATATGTGTTCTGCATGTCCCTCATGTTCCCCTCTCCATGGGGTTCCTGCTGCTGTGCCCCCAGATGATGTGTGGCACCCTGTGTCCCCTGTACAGTGCCAAGGCTCCATGTGGGGGTCCCATATCCCCCGCTGTGTCCTACATGTCCCCCATGTCCTCCTCCCCATGGCTGACACCGTGCCCTTGCACCACCCTGAGGCGCCAACATGGATGTCACAGACATTTCAGAGCTGTGTCTGTGTCCCCACGTGACTCCTTGGTTTGGGGTTGCCGTGGAGGGGTGGCTCAGGGTTAGAGGGTCCCAAGAGACAGATCTGGGGGCTCAGGGGTGTCCCCAAGGAGGCGGGAGGAGCAGGTTTGGGGCGGGGGGGAGTGGGTCCCAGGGCAGGTTTGGGGGTTTGGAGAGATCTGGGGGTTCAAGGGGGTCCTTAAGGGAGAGGCCCAGGCTTGGGGATGGTTTGGGGTCCCAGGGGCAGGTTTGTGAATTGGGGAGGGTCTGGGGTGTCCCCCTGTCATCCCATTGCCACGGCGTGCCCCCGGGATGGCCCCGCTCCCCTGACAGCCCACGGCAGACACACACCTGTGCTCCACCTGCGCAGCTGCAGGCGCGGCTGCGGGCGGAGCTGCAGGGGGCACAGGGACCACCCGGGCCGGGGGACACGGGGCGCCTGCCCCTTCTTCAGGCCACCGTCAGCGAGACCCTGCGGCTGCGACCCCCTGCGCCCCTGGCACTGCCACACTGCGCCCTGCGCCACAGCAGGTACGGGACAGAGCAGGGACAGGGGACAGCGCGGGGACAGGGGACAGAGCGGGGACAGGGGACAGTGCGGGGACAGGGGACAGAGCGGGGACAGGGGACAGAGGACAGAGCAGGGAGAGGGGACAGTGCAGGGACAGGGGACAGCACTGGGGGAGCCCCTGCCAGCCAGACCAGTGAGGGACATCTGAGAGCAACCACTGCAGACCAGTAAGGGTGTCATCAGCAGGGTCCAGGAGACCCCAAACCCCCAAGACCCCTTCAGGTGTCTGAACCCTCCTCAAACATGTGAATCCCCTCTGTCACCCTGGGGTCTCCCCCAAGCCTTGGGGTCCCTCTGAGCCCCTGGGTCACCCCAAACCCCCATGTCTCCCTTCTGAACCCCGAGGTCCAACCTGGGGAACCCCCAGGGAACCCCCAGGTTCCCTCCAAACTTGTGGAGGTCCGCCCCTCAGTCCTGGGTCCCCCATGGCGCCGGGTGCCCCCGAAGGCCTGTGGGTGCCCCCATGCCCCGGGACCCCCAGCGCTGACCCGTCGCCCCCAGAGCGGTTCCTGGCCCCGGGCGCTCCCTCCCGGTCTCTGCTGCCGTTCGGCTGCGGGGCGCGATCGTGCCCGGGGGAGGGGCTGGCGCGGGCCGAGCTCTTCGTGTTCCTGGGGCTGATCCTGCGGGAATTCCGTCTGGAGCCGGGCCCGGCGGGACTGCCGGGGCTGCGGGGGTCGCCGGGCACGGTGCTGCGCTGTCCCCCCTTTCTCGTGCGTATGGTGCCCTGCCAGCCCCCGGGCTCACCCTGACCCTGGCCTGACTCCACTGACCGCTTTATTACTTTTCTGAACACCCTGTGACTCACCTGAGTGTTTTTTTGACCATTGCTGAATACACCTGACTTCACCTGACACTGCCTGAACCTGGCTGACCGTGACCCCCTGACTGACCCCACCTGACCTCGGCCTCACCCCTGCCAACCCTGTGCCTCACCTTGACACCGGCTGTGACCCCAGCTGTGACCCTCCCTAACCCCACCCGACCCTGCTTGAACCCTGCGTGACTCCATCCCAACTCTCCTGCCTCCCCCTGATCCATGGGCGCCCCCATTCAACACCCCTGATGCCAGGCTCAGTGCAGTGTGGGAGGACCCCATTCACCTCTTCCTAATAAAATTTGTACTTTTGACCCCACCCCGCAAGTCCCGGCTCTTCCTGGGACCCCCAAAACCTCCGGAACGCCCGAAGCCCAGCCTTTCCCCCCACACCACAGCCGCAACCCTCGGACAGCATCAGGGGATACCGGTGTGGCTGGTTTGCCCTTCCCCGCCCCGCAAAGCCCCTGCCCGGAGAGGCTGCGGTCCGGTTCGGGCTCGCGGTCCGGTTCGGGCTCGCGGTCGGTTCGGGCTCGCGGTCGGTTCGGGCTCGCGGTCCGGTTCGGGCTCGCGGTCCGGTTCGGGCTCGCGGTCGGTTCGGGCTCGCGGTCCGGTTCGGGCTCGCAGCCCTGCGAGGCGCGGCCGCTGCCGCCGCTCTGCGCGGGGCGCTGGCTTCCGCCGGTCCGCCTGGCAACAGGTGACTCGAAGCGTGAAGCGCTCTGATTGGCCGAGGGCTGGCGTGCCTGGCAAGCGATACATCTGATTGGCTTGGAGCTGTTGAGGGCGGGAGGGGAGTGCGGCGCCGTGCCCTGAGGGCTGTGGGCGCTGCGCGGGGAGTGCCCGCTCCGAGCCTGCCGAGGAGCGCTCCCCCCGACCAAAAACGAGGGAGAGAACCGAGGAGGGGCAGGGAGGGGACGAGACCGCCCGCGCCCTCGAGTCCTATGCTCCAAATGGGGACAACAGCAAGGGAGGGGTAGGCACGGCAAGGGAACGGAAGGGTTGGTCGGTGAGGAAAGGCGAAGGACGGAGAGGCAATTCAAGGGGCCAGCAACATAAGGCAAGGCAAGCGTGAGGTAGGTAAGGCAAGGAAAGGGAAGGGTAAGAAACGCTAGGGTTAAACAAGGCAAAACAACAGAGGGGAAGGCAAGGCAAGGGAACGGAGGGTTGGTAAAGGCAACGCAAGCAAAGGGAGCGGCAGGCAAGGGAAAGCAAGGCAAGGCAAGGGGAGGCACTGGAAGCCAAGATAAAATGGAGGGGTAGGCCAGGTAAGGCAGTGCAAGGCAACGCAGGGGTTGTTACCTGAACTATCCAGCTGTAGGATAAATGTTCAAAAGAAACATTGGACCCTTAAGGGAAGAGTCTGTCACCCTCTGTAAAACTCAAGGGGAGAACAAGGCTCAAAAGACAGCTCTCCATGCTGCCGGCACCTGCTGCTGGAAACGGCGTCGCGGGGCGCGCTCCGGTGGACACGGGGATGCGCAGGGGCGGAACAGCAGCCCGCGGTGCCGCGCCTGTCCCGGGACCCCCACCCCGGCGGGTGCCGCCAGCAGCCCCCGCTCCATCATCCCTGCAGCACCGCCCCATCATCCCCACAGCCCCCGCTCCATCATCCCCGCAGCACCGCTCCATCATCCCCCACCGCTCCCGCTCCATCATCCCCGCAGCCCCCGCTCCATCATCCCCGCAGCCCCCGCTCCATCATCCCCACCATCCCTGCTCCATCATCCCCACCGCCCCTGCTCCATCATCCCCCATAGCTCCATCATCCCCGCAGCCCCCGCGTCCCGGTGACATAACTCAGGTTTCCCACAGGGTGATTTGCGGAACTATTCCACTTTTACTCCACAACTAGTAAAAGTCGTGAAGTAGATTTGTATCTTTATTCAGCGCCGAGGCACGCAGGATGGATCCTTAAAGAACATGTGTGCCCTCCGAGAGTCCAGCCCCCCCTTTGTCCCCCAGCCTGTTGCATACGCATTAAGTTTCGCAATAGGCTCATGCATATTCATGGAATTACAATTAGTTTGTATCAGTCCTTGAGCAGAGACCTCTGGTTGTCCATTGTCTCCTGCAGCCTCAGTTTTGGCTTGCTTCTTGTTTCAAGGTCCAAGGGGCCCCTCTTATCTTCCTCTAGCTTGGAAGTTCACATTTCTTTCACCTTGTTCGAGGCAGTTTTGTGAGGTACAGGCTTTTTCGAACACAGCAAACTTAACAGACTAAACAAGTTAATTCAAAACAACACACTCCACCTAAATCTGAAACGCATTTCTAACCCAAGTTAATTCCTAATGTCTCAGCAGGAGATGAGGGATTTTTTAGAACTATTGAGGGTAATTTTAGGACTTTTTTATGAGTATTTTTTGAGGGAATTTTTAGGGTTTTATCAGGGCATTTTAATTTTTGGGGTAGAAGGAAAGTCTAGCACCCCATTGTTTGAGAGGCAGACGAAGGGCAGTGTAGGGGAGGGAACCCCTCCCCACGGGACCTTTCTTCACCTCACCCCCCAATCCAAGGTCTGGCAGCCCCCCGTGTGAGCAGCTTGTCCAGAGGGGCTAACGGGGCCATCCCAAGTGTCCCTCCAGGAGATACGGATGCAGAATCCAGCAGGGGTTATTATTGCAAAACTCTTTTTAGCTAGAAGCAGAAAGTTCCTGTCAAACAGCAACATCCTTAAAGCTTTAATTCGAAGCTTTAAGGATGTCAAGCTTCTCATTTATAACATTCGTTACAAATATAGATACATATATTTTAACATTCCTTATATATATATTTATATATATATATATTTATATTAGCTATAAATATATATATTCGACGCAGCTGACGGCACCTGAAGCCCGTGACACTTGGCTACTGGGCAGATAGAGCCGCGATGATGCCAAGCCGTGAGGAGGGCCAGTGACACAGCACACTAACGCGGAGCAGCACCCCGGGCACACCGAGCGCCGCGGCTCCGCCCGCGCACCGCCACCGGACGCGGCGTGACGCCACTGCCGGGACCGCCTCCGTGCGACGGCCGCGTCCCTTCCGTGCGACCGCGTCCCTTCCGTTCGACCGCCGCTTCTTCCGTGCGACCGCCACTCCTTCCGTGCGATCGCCGCTCCCTCCGTGCGACCGCCGCGTCCCTTCCGTGCGACCGCCGCTCCTTCCGTGCGATCGCCGCTCCCTCCGTTCTACCGCCGCCTCCTTCCGTTAGACCTCCGCTCCTTCCGTGCGATCACCGCGTCCCTTCCGTGCGACCGCCGCCTCTCTCCGTGCGACCGCCGCTCCCTCCGTTCTACCGCCGCCTCCTTCCGTGTGACCGCCGCCTGCAGCTCCGGCGGGGCTCCGTGCCGGTGCCGGCCATGAGCAAGCGCAAAGCCCCCCAGGAGAGCCCCAACGAAGGCATCACCGACTTCCTCACCGGTAGGTGCGTGCGCTCGGTCGGCTCCGTGGGTGGGAAGGGCCGCGGCCCGGCCGCTCTCACCGCGGTTCTCCCGCAGAACTGGCCAACTACGAGCGCAACGTGAACCGGGCCATCCACAAGTACAACGCGTACAGGTACCGCTGCCCTCCCGCCGCGGCCCCGGCCCCGTGCCCGTGCCGGGCCCCTGCCCGTTCGGGCGCTGACCGGCCCTGTTCCGCAGGAAAGCGGCCTCGGTCATTTCTCGGTATCCGAGCAAGATCCAGAGCGGGGCTGAAGCCAAGAAGCTGGTAGGTGCTCGTGTCCGGGTGTGGGGCAGCCGGAGCGGGGGTGAGGTGCCGGGGAAACGTGGGGGCAGCCCCGGTTCTGCCAGCGCCTCCTTCCCTGCCCCAGTCAGAGTTCGGGGACACGGACTGGGGGGGTTTCAGAGCTGGAACTGGGCATCCCATCTGAGCCTCTGCCTGTAAAAATGTCTTTCCTCTTTGCTCTGTTATCCCTTTGTTAATTAAGAGATCTTGAGCAGTAAGAATCAAAGCCCTGTTCAAACTTAATGCTTCAGGGAAACTTGATCTAGCCCTATAGCCCTTGCATTACAGTGTTTATGCCTTGAATTCTTGTGCTCTTTTACGGTCTAATATTTTATTGTGGTCCTGGGTGCCCCACAGTTCTTTCTGGACTCTAAATTCTAGGGAGTTTTCCTTGCTGGTGCCTCCTTCCCTGCCCCAGTCAGAGTTCGGGGACACGGACTGGGGGGGTTTCAGAGCTGGAACTGGGCATCCCATCTGAGCCTCTGCCTGTAAAAATGTCTTTCCTCTTTGCTCTGTTATCCCTTTGTTAATTAAGAGATCTTGAGCAGTAAGAATCAAAGCTTTGTTCAAACCTATCAAACTTGATCTAGCCCTGTAGCCCTTGCATTACAGTGTTTATGCCGTTTATATTGTACCCTTGAATTCTTGTGCTCTAATATTTTATTGTGGTCTTGGGTGCCCCACAGTTCTTTCTGGACTCTAAATTCTAGGGAGTTTTCCTTGCTTCCCGCAGATAATGACTTTAAGTGATGTTTAAATTAACTTGTTTGTACTCGCCCCCAATATTTAGGATGGAGTGGGTGCAAAAATAGCTGAAAAGATAGATGAGTTCTTATCCACTGGAAAACTACGTAAATTGGAAAAGGTGGGTATCTTTCTCCTGTTCTGTATTTCTCAATAGCTGCTTTTACTGATAACTTGCAAAAAAGCTTGTTTGCTCTGCACATTTCTGTTGTTGTCCCTGGACAGTCTTAGGGGTGGTGAACAGAGGAGTGTAGGGTAAGTAGAAATCAGGGACTGAGAAGCTCAGCGTGCAGGTCTTCTGTCAGAAGTGGAAATCTGTTGCTGGAAGGCTGTGGAATTTTGTGCTTTGTGCCTGCTGTGCTCCTTAGCATGGCCAGTTGGGTGGTTTTCAGGCTGGGTACATGTGGCAATATTGTGATGCACCATACTGCCCTTGGTACTGTTCTGCAGTGACTTGTGCAAGCCAGAGTCTGACTAAGCTGTTTTGTCTTCTTAATGCTTCTTTTTGTTTGCTTATTGCAAATAGAGTAAAGAAATATTTGGGTTTTACTGTTTTGTTTTTGTAGATTCGACAAGATGATACAAGTGCTTCCATCAATTTCCTGACACGAGTCACTGGCATTGGGTAAAAGTTTCTTGGGGTGTTTTTAGGGCTTTTTTTCCCTTCTGTTAGTTTGATAGACTTATGAATAGAATTTGGATGATTGCACATAATGAAGAGAATGAGCCTGAGCTGCCCACACTGACACACTGTAGTCATGTTTATGAGATTGAATGAGACAAAAGGGTACAGAATGATGAATTACAGACTTCGTGGTAGAGGAGTGGAAGTGGGAAGTTTCCTGAGAGAGGAAGGAGAGAGGTGCAGGTCAAGAATGGAACTGTGGAAGTGAGACTCTGGCCTCAGGGTTTTTGTAAAAGGAGAAGCAGAGCCTTGAAGGAGGCAACAAAACAAAAACAAACAAATAAAAAAAACCCACAAGAACTCTGCTGCAATGTTATTGTGCATTTGGTATTACTGTCTGAAGCAATATTGCCTATTTGCTGTGACTTTTTAAATTTCTTACAATTATACATCACTGTATAGTTATAACAATGCTAAAAAAATGTGCAGGCCAGGCTTTGGATCTCTGCTGACCAAAAGCATAAACTGGTAATGAGTATGCTGAAAAAAAAGTAAGCATCACAAGCCACCTCAGTCTTAGGTTTAAGAACCTCCACAGCTGTAAATAATTCTGATATCCTGTTCAGTGTGGTAAGGTTCTTGCTGTTCCTGATGCCACATTGCCTTGTCTCTTTGCAGTCCTGCTGCTGCTAGGAAGTTTGTCGAGGAAGGAATTAAGACTTTGGAAGGTAAGTGTGAATAGTTCACACTCCAGTGATCTTTTTTTCTGTCAATCTGCCTCTTCTGCAGTGGTAGCATATATGCCCCAGGCTTTTAGGGGGGTGTGTAAGATGCTAAAGCTAGTAGAAAGGCTTAAGGTACTTCATACATATCCAGAGTAAAGTATGTGCAGGTTACATGGAAGGTAACAAAGATTTTGGTTGTTTGGTGGTCTGTTAATTCTTGTTGGAAGTGCTCTGTGCATTTGTGGTCGTCCTATCAGCTGCTGTGTAGGTAGTTTGAAATTCCCTCCTTTGAGGTTGTATTCTCCTTACATATCCTTTACATGCATCATCTTTGCCTTGATGGAAACTTACTCTAAGATTTTTAGTCCTCAGTTAACTATTTTGTTTGGACTTTTTTTCTAGATCTAAGAAAAATTGAGCACAAGCTGACCCATCACCAGCGAATTGGGTTGAAGTAAGCTTTCTTGGGTGCAAGTGCTTGGTGTTTCTAATCACTGCCTCAGACACCAGGATTAATGGAAGGTTACACAGGCTGAGTGAAGTTCTCTTCTCTCTGTGCTCTACCTGCCTTTCAGCAGTTATTTAGAGCTTTTGTTCCATTCAGAGGGAAGTTAATTTCAAGTGACTTCCTCAGTTAGCTCGTGGAGAATCACTTTAGTGAGGTTGTGGAGCTGTTTCTTCACAATCTGCAGAGAAGTGGCCCAGGCTGGTTTTTTATGTGCTGTGAACAAGGTAACCTTTGCATGTCTGAGCTTGAGAATGCTGCACAGAATGTGTGTCTGTCCCTCAGTATTCATCCTCAGTATTCAGGCCAGTAAGTTAGTATTCTTTCCTCTGATACATATTTAATTGACTAAAATTTTAAGATGCTGCCCCTGCCACTCTTTCGGACACTTCTATTTTTATATTTGCAGATACTTTGAAGATTTTGAGAAAAGAATCCCGAGGGAAGAAATGCTGCAAATGCAGGTAAAAATCTCATTGTTAAGGATGTGATGTACTGATGGCCAGTGGATGACTGGCCACCTCTAAACACACTTCTTTCCTTTTTACATAGGAAATTGTGCTCCAGGAGATAAAGAAACTGGACCCAAACTACATTGCTACAGTCTGTGGCAGTTTTAGGCGAGGTTGGTACTCTGTGATCTTACCTTTATTTTGGGATAACAAGCAATACAAGTCACTCTGTGTGTTGTTCTTGACAGACTTTGTGCTGGAGCCTGGCCTTTCCTGTTGGTGTTGTCTTGACTAGCTGGTTCAGGGATGAGACACCCACATAAATCCTTGCTTCTCCATCCTTCCCCCATAAAGAGTAGTATCTTGTAAGGTGGATTGTTTGCTCTGCTTTTATATTACCAACATTTGTGTTTCACTGCTGTGGAGTACAGCAAGAAATTCTTGGCTGTTTTCTTCTGTATGGAGAATATCAACTTCTGATGAAAGAACAAGATTGTTTCACTTTGTTTTTTGTTCTGCTAGTATCTCTGACAGTGACCATTCCCTGGCAGAAAACCATGTTTATGAGAAGATGTACATTCAGCAGCATTAGGATACTTTGCCACACACAGAAGGATTTTTCTTTGCTTCTTTCTTGCCTAGGTGCAGAGTCAAGTGGTGATATGGATGTTCTCCTAACCCATCCCAGTTTCACATCTGAATCATCCAAACAGGTGCCTTTCTCAGATGCCAGGGGTCAGAACTGTACATTGCACACAGTCTCAGGCTTGTATTGCAGCTTTTTGTGGTTCTGTATTTACTGTAATATTGAACTTCTCTCTTGGATCACCCTGTTTATTTTGAGGAGTTATAATTACTTCTCAGGTCCATATATTATGTTGTGTTTCTCTTGCAGAACTAGTCAATATATTTGTTTTTACCTTTCTCTCCTTCCTCTTCCTGTCATACATATTCCCCCACCCCCTTGAATTCATGTGCTTTAATAATGCAGAACTCTAAAGCTAGCTGGATTGAAGCTAGACTGACTATTTCTTTATGTAGCCATAATCATTTAGATGATAGGAAACTGTCCTGCTGCCCTTGTAATCTTTTGGGACTAACTCTGAAGTAGTATTAATAACACTGGTTTTTCTGTTGTTTTTTTTTTTTTTTTTTAGTTGTGTTCCTTCTATAGATTCATTGTTTAAAAGCTGAATTAGATTTGTCATTTCCAAGTAAAGGCTGTCTCACTTTGGGGGTATTGGTGGAAATTGTTTTTATCTTGCACAACTGTAATTTTATTAGCTTTTTCCCAGTATTATTGTTACATTTTTTTCCATTTGGGTCAAATTTAATGTAGAATACTACATATAATTATGATGATGTCCTGTACTTATAGAGCCTCTGTCTAGTAAATAGGTAAGATATTCTTGTTATTTGTGGAGTAATTTCTTCTTCTTTGTTACCATTGTTCCTAGTCAAAACTTCTGCATCAGGTTGTAGAGCAGCTGGAAAAAGTCCACTTTGTCACAGATATGCTGTCTAAAGGTGACACCAAATTCATGGTAAGAGCCTTTTTTGGTGGTGAAGGATGTCGTGGGGGGATTACTTTTCCTGACAGAAGCTAGGATGAATACAACTGCTTGGGCTGCTGGAGCTGGGGGTGATGTGTGTCTGTTTTTTTAATTGTTCTGCTTGCACCTCAAAAGAATTTCCTGCAGGTTTCTCTTAGGGAATACCTTATGGCAAGATTTCAGTATTAGAAGGTGTACAGATATTTGTGTAGTTCTGAACCTTGCTGACATAACCTTCATCACATCATGTCACTTGTGTCTGTATTGCTGGATGTTTCCTGGAACCTCAGCACAACATCACTTCTTCAGCTGTGCACCAGTGACCACTTCTGTAATTGTGTCCTCAGGATCTTGGAAACATTTAGCTTTGATCTCAGAACTACGTTTACCTGATTTTGTCTAATATATAATATACTTTTGTCTCCTTTTTTGCCTGTTTTGCTGCAGAACAGATTAAATAGATAAGCTACTAGATTTAGGATATAATAGGGATTATGTGGGATGCCTAAAGCAAGCAATGAATTACAAGAACAGTAATTTTTTAGATCCCATGCTGACAGTGCCAGGCTTTTTTTCTTTTCTTAACCTGCTGATATTCATGCTTACTGAAAAGCCTGATAATAATGAGGACAGGGAAATGAGGATCCTTCCTGGTGCAATAAAAATTCAAGAAGCAGTTCTGTGCCACACTGAACAACAGTTCTCACAACAGTGTAAGGTGGTGTTTCACTGTATTCTGATATCTGGATGTTCTAGCTCAGCAGGGATTTAACTTTGCTTTCCAGGATGGCTGAGGATTGTTTAGGGGTGGGGTGGTTCTCAGATCTGTTTAATTTCATCTGAATTTCTCGCTTGCCTTAATTCCTCCCAGGGTGTCTGTCAGCTGCCAGATAAAGAAGATGGAACAGCTTATCCACATCGCAGAATTGATATCCGGTACTGCCTAACCCCCAGCCCAAGCCCCTAGTTCAGCTCTCTGCTCCAATTTTTTCATTCTAATCTACTACCATGTTCAGAACATGGCATTTATTAGGTTTCTAAAGCCTTTGCAGTGTGGCAGCCACTGGACAAACTGCTGGTAGTTACAACAGGTTATTAGCAATAATTTGCTTCAAATCATGATATTCTGTTCAGATTCAGAATCGTGTCCTGTTTTATCATCCTGCTTTGACACTGGTTCTTGGCAGGAGTGCAAGCACCATAACCAGGTAGTGGCTGAACAGCAGTAATTTCTGGGTAAGGGTAGATGTGCTGAACCTTTCTTTCACGTGCATTTCCCTTCCCTTTGGCATCTGGCTTGTGGGAAAATTGAATGTATGGATTTGCAGGAATACAAAGTAAACCTACACGTGGCTGAACTAGTGAATTTTAAATGGCCTGCCCTTCCCTTTGGCATCTGGCTTGTGGGAAAATTGAATGTATGGATTTGCAGAATGTAGACACAGGAATACAAAGTAAACCTACACATGGCTGAACTACAGAATTTTAAATGGCCTATTACTTCTTTGTTGTGTATTTATTCCAAGTCTTCTCTTCTGCTTTTTGTTCTAGGCTCATCCCAAAAGATCAGTATTACTGTGGTGTGCTGTATTTCACAGGAAGTGATATATTCAACAAGAACATGAGAGCTCATGCTCTGGAAATGGGCTTCACAATCAATGAGTACTCAATACGCCGCTTGGGCGTTACTGGTCAGTCTGAGTTTTTGCACAGAGTGTTCTTTCTAGTTGTGTGATCACCTTCAGTTGGTTGCAGTTGTTTTGGAAGCACTTCTGATAAATGCTGTGGTTTGTGGAATTTTTCACAGTGCCCTTTTTGATGTTGGGCACTGTTGCAGCAAGGAGGGGGAGCTATTTACATACAGGCAGCTCTGTGGCACAGAGTTACCTCTTTGGGCCTCCTAATCTACTTAAAGTCTCAATGATTTAAAGATTTTTTTTTTTCTGTGCTGTGCACAGCACATATTTGGTTTCCTGCTCTTCACAGGGTCCTTCAGTTTCTTTGCTTTGGAGGAGAGGTGACTATATATACCCACACACAATTATAAATTTATTTAACTGCATAACCACATGGCCCCAAAGTTAATTCATGACCTTATTTCCTTTAACACTAATAAGAATCAGTATGTAAACACTATGAAAATTTTGCAGAGGGTGGGGAGATCATTCTGGGTGAGTTCTTCAGGTTTTTTAACTACAGCAATTTTGTTTTAATCTTGCCATGCATTTGGCATTTCTGAATGGTACAGACTTTCCACCTTTCAAACATCCTGTGTAATTTCCTTGCAGGAGTTGCTGGAGAGGCCCTGCCAGTAGAATGTGAAAAAGACATCTTTGACTACATCCAGTGGAAATACCGAGAGCCAAAGGACCGGAGTGAATAACTGACTGCTTGTCTGGGTTCATAGCCTACACAGATGTTTTTATAGCTTCTTACAAAGATCTGAAAGTGCACAGTCTTACTTTGAATGTTACTTGAAAAACTCTGTATTACTGATGTCTAAAGCAAGTCCATGGTGCTTGAACAGAACAGAATGTGTCGTGAACAATAAATCCTGTGAGATTCCATTTTCATACAGGCACAGAATAATTTGGGTCGGTGGGGACACCTAAATGTCATGTAGTCCAGTCCCCCTGCCACGAGCAGAGCCATCTTTAACTAGAGAAGATTGCTTAGAGCCACTCCAATGTGACCTTGAATGTTTGTGGGGATGGAGCATCCCACATCTCTCTCTGTGTATCTTACATATCTGTAGATCCCAGAATGAAAATGCACAGGCTATATCATGAAGAACTCCTGAAGAGCACTAATTTCCAGCTACTCTCTGTCTCCTCACACCTGTGTTAAGTGTGTTGGTGAAATGCTGAAGCTCATGAGTTGCTCCTGTGTACTTCCTTCTAAAATCTTTCAGTATGGGCTGTGTGCCAGGGTGGCCATTCTCCTGCTGCATGTGAATTTTGTTGCTGGCTGTGTTGTACTATTGATTGCAGTGCTCTGTGTTCCATTTGCCTTGCTCTGATTAATTGATGCATTGCTACTGCTCCTGTAGATTCAACCTGCCCTTTTTTTTGTGTGCAAACCTGTCAAATCTTATTTTGCACCTCCCCTCCAGTTGTTGGGAAAGGGAATGAGTACTTTGGTCTCTTCAAGAATGCATTACTAGTTGTACTTGGGACAGGGATTCTGATGGTTAGATTTTTTTTTTAAATATAATTTTCAAAGTAGTAAGCTACTAGCTTCCATGTGTTACAGAGCATGAGCATGGAATTTAGTGCTGCTGCTCTATTTGAATACTGTGTCTTATTTTCATCTCGCTTAAGCTTGCAGAACAACTCCATTTTCAACTTGTTATACAAGGAGAGTTGATCAATCTTAGTAATAGAGGTTACAGGCTGATGCTCTTACTTATCTATTTATTTTCTCCCATTTTTCTTGTTAGGAGTTTTAATTAATTTCTGGGAGTGTTCCCTGGTGCTAATGCATGCAGTAGTATGTAAGAAAACTAGAAGTTAACTTGGTACTATATGAAGTATTTTGATGCCTCATTGTAAAAATAGACACCCAGCTGATAAATATTTAGTATTTTCTTCTTCAGTAACCAGTAGGAATAAACAAATGGAATATTCCATCATGAATGTGTAGTGGCATTTGATTATTGTTTTATTTGCTGTCATTCCAGAAGATCAAAAAGCATTTACCACGTTTACAAATGTTTCCTGGGCAGCACAAAGCATTGCCCTGATGCATTCTCCATCCTCCTCAACAGGTAGGCCAGAAGACTGCTTTGTCTTTTGTCAACAAACAGAATTTGTTGGCTTTGCAGTCCTCTCTCCATAAAACTGCAAATTCTTCTATGTGCAAGAAACCAAAAGGGCTTCTTCAGAGAGCTTGATTGGTTTTTGTGAATTATATAAATATGCATTGTGTCTTTTTTTCCCTCTCTGCTTTCTCACCCCACTCCCTCTATCTCAGTTCAGTTCTTTTCTTATCTCAGTCTTTTCTTCTAGATTTGTACCAGCTACAAGATTTCTGGTAATTTTGGGAGGCAATAGCTGCGAACCTTGTCACGGGGAATCTGTAATTGGGCATGTACTGTCCTCTTATTTGGGTGCACAACCTTATTTATGTGCAGAATAACAGAATTTGTCAGCAATACTAGCTGCACCATTCCGTCAGCGCTTTTGCCCCAGATGAAGTATTAATTTAAGATTGGGTGGGCCCGTCCCCTTCCTTCCACTGGGGGCTGTAGTGGCCCTGAGGGGTTTGTCTGTGCAGAATTTCCGAATTCTGACACCGAGAGAAGGAGGTTGGTTGGTAAGGCAGGTGAAGGATTTGCAGAATTTCTGAATTCTGACACCGAGAGAAGGAGGTTTGTTGGTAAGGCAGGTGAAGGATTTGCAGAATTTCTGAGTTCTGACACTGAGTGAAGGAGGTTTGTTGGTAAGGCTGGTAAAGAGTTTGCAGAATTTCTGAATTCTCACACCGAGAGAAGGAGGTTTGTTGGTAAGACAGGTGAAGGATTTGGGGAGAACCTCCGGTGCCCGCTGCGGCCTCTGACAGGCCGGGTGATGCAGGGCCCCGCTGCAGCTCCGTGGGCGCGGGGCCTGCGGCACCGAACAGCCCCGCAGGCCGCTCCGCATGCGGACGTGGGGGCGCCGAGAGCCGTACCGGAGGCAGCGCGGGCGGCAGGTAGCGCCGGGCCCGCGGCGGGGGTCGGGGCCGGGCCGGGTGGGGCCGGGCCTCGCCGCGCTGTCCCGCTGGAGCCCGGTGCTGCCCTCTGGGCCTCGGCGAGGCGGGCGTCCCCCGAGTCACCTTGCGGCGGCGGGGCTGGACGTGAGGCCCGAGGGGGCGCCGGCCGCTGGCTCCGGCGGCAATTCCTCGCCCGCGGGCTGCCCTAAGGGCAGGCCCGGCCCGCGGGCCGCCTCTCTCTCCGAGACCGGGCGGTCTGGCTAAGTTGCTCCACTTTCTCGGCCGGGAGGCACGGACCCATGAGGCGGCTGCGGGCGAGCGTTCCCACGGCGCCGGTATTTCGGCAGGGAGGGGAAGCGGCGCGGAGCGCGCCCGCTCCGTTACCCGTTGCGTAACGCGGGCGGCGGCGGGGCGGGGGCCGCGCTCGCGCTCCCGGGGCCGCGCAGCCGCCGCCCCGCCGGCTCCGCCGCCAGAGGTGCGTGGCGGAGGTCGCGGGCAAGGCCGCGTCCCTCAGGAAACGCGGGACCGCCCTCACGGATGTTTCTTGTGCAAGGATATTTTATTTTATTTTATTTTATTTTATTTTATTTTATTTTATTTTATTTTTTTCGGTTGGTTTTGGTTTTTTTGCGTTTATTCCACGGACCGACGCGTGTATTCTTGTGGTTCTTTTCCCCGCTCCGTCAGCTGTTGCCATGGCATCTGGTTGATTGAAATTTAATGTTAAGAGCTGTGAAACCTCAATTGTTGTAGATAAGTGTGTTGTGCAAGTAGAGCTGCTTGTTGTTAGCAAGGAATTGGTGTGTTTCAGTATGAGAATCTCTTAATACTGTCTAAATGCTTGCATAAAATTTAATATAAACATTTAAACACTTAGAGGATACAGCTGCATAGTGTAAAGAGAGTGAACAGGCTTCTGATTTTCCAGATGTCTCATTAAAATGAGGTGTAAACACGAGAGATTGTCATCCAAAAAGGTGGCATTTAGGTTGAGAATATGCTGAACAGGATGGTGAGGTCCTCCTTTACTTCAGGTGTCTGCAGTGAAGCTGCTGTGGGGAGCCCCAAGAGTGCCAAGCACGGTTTTTGTCTCTCTAAAGCCAGAGTGTCCACAGACTTGAGCATGAAAGATAGAGGCATGGCATGTTTTCAGAAACTGGAGTGAGGGGTTATTATTTAAGCTCTTGTTTGATGTAAAAATCTCAGTGTAATTTTAGAGTTAGAATAGACTGATCTCTTTCAAGCTCTAAATCAGTCCCAGCTCCCAGGGTGGAACCATTATGAAGCTTTTGGGTTATGTGGTTTGGAGGCCAGCTACAAATCCATGATCATGGAGTGTTCTGTAATCATTCCATGGGCTCCAGATCTCCTAAACCACAGGTATGTATGGAACTATAGAATATCCAGAGTTGGAAGGAGCACACAAGGACCACCAAGCCTAGATACACCCTGCAGGTTAGTTATTAAATCACTGAACAAAGAGTGCTTGTAAGCTATGCTGTGTAAATTGCCCAAGTGCTTCATTTTAGGAAGGGCTGGCTGTCTGAAAAGCAGGACAGTAGTGTTGCATTTGCAGCAGGGAAACTGAGTACACCAGTAAGCAGCTAAAATGGTGGAAGACAAGTGATAGCTTAAGTACTTCCACATGTCTTGTTCACATCATTGCTTTTAAGATTAGTCTTTCAGTTTGGTATAAAAAAATGGGGGATCAGGGATTTCTGATGTTGGGTGTTGCAGAGAAAAATACAAACAAATGCATCAGCAGTAGGCATGGAAAGAGTTGTTCTTAAAATCTAATGAAAGGAGCATCTTTTATTCCTTTTATACCATCTTTTATACCTTTTCTCTTCTGGAGCAGGTGTGCCTTTACATTTATGCAAGCTTATTTTAGAGGAGGAAGACTAATTTTCCACTGGGGAAGAGTTTGCCTACCTCTTTACTGTGGGTTTTTTGATGCAAAATCCCTAAATTGTGGTGACTAATAAAATGTATCATCTGCACTGCACTATTACATGCCCATCCTTTTGAGCTGTGTTCTCCCCTGTAGTTGTAACAATATTAGGAAGTGTACCCCTATTAGCAAATTTAGTTTTTGCTCACTGATGGCTACTGGACAGTATACAGAGATCTCTTTCATATTTTCCACATCTCTGAAAAAGCTTTCTATGAAGTTACAAGTGCAGATGGAAGTGACATCTGTTTTCCTTTGGAATTGTTAAGTGTTGGCCTTGTTTGTCACTTGAGGTCCCTTTCAGAATGGGTCCAAAAAATGTGATACCATTGCTTTTGCTATCACAAAAGCAATGTTTCCTCATTATCAGAAGAGCAGTAAGGCTCCCATGAGTTATTTTTGCAGTGTAAGACTGTGAGGCCAGCATATGTAGTGGAGTGTAATAGCTGGGGTTCAGTGATTCTAAATAATGGATTGGCTTTCATAAATTCTTTGAATCAAAGCTTGTTTTGGACAAAGCAGCAATGATGCAAGGATGATTTTGATGAACATTCTTCAAAGATCTGGCAGTTCTGAATTGGTGATGTACTCAGAGACTACTAATCATAGATGTTTATTAATGCTTTGGCTGTAGTTTACATTTGATGCTGTTCCAGCTAAGGTTCTTAGAGCTTCCCTTGTGTTTCAGATCCAATGGCTGTTCCACCGTCATACTGTGACTTGGGAAAGTCTGCCAGGGATGTTTTCAACAAGGGATATGGTAAGTAAGATGAGGATGGTTTGATCACCTTTCATGGTTTTTCCTTAGGCATCTTGAAAATGCCTGTCAGGACACGAGTACCTCAGAGATTCCCTCATACAGCAGAGCCCTGGAGCATGTGTGGCAGTAAACAGGTTCCTGAGGAAGAGTGACCTTTATGTCAATCAGAATAGCCTGTTGTTAAAGCTGGAGTGCATATTTTCACAATATTTGCATTTGTCCCTTTTCTGGAAACAGTACTGAAAAATGTTGATTTTTTTTTTTTTTTTGGAATCTGAGTTTGTGTGCAGTAAAGATTTCATTTGTATCCCAAATCCATATGCTACATAAAACTAAAATGCACTGTGGTCTGCTCTCTCCCACCCTGGAGTTCAGGCTTTGCTAAAAATCACCTCAAGTTCCCTGCTTTAGAGTCAGTTACTTCAAGCTTTTCTACTTAGTGCAAGGGCCAGATATTTCCCTAGATTCAGAGCAGACAGAAAAGGAAGAAAGCAGTAGCACTTCTGTATATGGCACTGATTAAAGTAAGTTGAAACTTTTTTTTTGGAGTGGAGAAGAAGAAAAATTTCCTGCTCTGAAATCAGAAATAAAATGTAAACTAAATAAATCAGAATTGTATTGATGGGTCCCAGACTGCAGGTGGCTACAGAAGGTGGAGATACCTGATGGTTGGTGTCTGTTATGATTATAAATTATGAAGCAACATACTCTGAGTTGTCAGAAATCCTTCAATCATTCTTCTCATAACCCTCAATATGTTCAACAACTGTTTAAACATGAAAACTGTTTCAGGTCAGTGTACCCTACCTGGCATACTTTGAGTGTGTTGGAAATAAGCCTTGTTTGTATCTTTCAGTGAAACAGATGCTGTGTGCTATTTTATTTTCAGGATTTGGAATGGTCAAGTTAGAGTTGAAGACCAAGTCTTCCAGTGGGGTGGTAAGTATTGGGGACTTTAAACACCACCAGCATAGCAATGGAAGGACAAATTCCTGAGTTGGTAACAAGTGTTACAACTTGCTAGCAGGTGTTGCTTGTCTCTTTCATTTCTCGTTTTAAAATTCATAGCTGAGATATTTCTACAATAGTGTGAAGCTGATACGGTAAGTATTGGGGACTTTAAACACCACCAGCATAGCAATGGAAGGACAAATTCCTGAGTTGGTAACAAGTGTTACAACTTGCTAGCAGGTGTTGCTTGTCTCTTTTATTTCTTATTTTTAAACTCATAGCTG